CAGGCTTAACTAACCAATTCCACTTCCTTTCTTAAATTTTCAGTTTATTTCATGTTGGACATACTCTTATATACCTATACCTCTTTTTTAACAAGTTATATAATACTCTGTATAAAATTATTCAGTTACATAATTAGTCCCAATGTATTTTGAGTTCCCAAAAGACAGATTTATGTGGTTCCTATAGATCGTGGCATTCCCCGCACTTATCCAGCCAATGTCTGACTCGCAGATGATGCTGAATGCTATTGGCTTAATTAACATTTCACTTGTCCTGGAAAGGCAGGTGAAAATAAGGTTTTGATTAGTAAAGTAGGTGGGTCTGATTAATCATGTGATATGAATATACTCAGAGGGACCAGAAAAAATCGTTTAATAAGGAAAATGACCAAAGGTATCAGCAGGAAGCAGGGAGAGACAGACATTTAAAAGCCATTGGTGGCCATGAGGGAATTAGGGGATGAAGTAAAAGATTTTTTTAAAAAAATGTTTTTCAGCTATGAACAAAATTAATTCTCCAAAGATCTTCTGCCTGTAAATAATCCTTAGTCCCTGCTATCAACATTATAAAATGAGTTTTTGAAAAGCATTTCTGGGCAGAGGAAATAACTCTCCCCAATACAGATTATTTTTGAATTGCTAAAGAATAAATAGTAATACCCAGAGTACACTGATATGTATATGAATTTGTGGTCCTTTTAGAGGAAAGGACGTACATTGCCCTTATGTACATCAACCCAAAGTTTCAGCTCTCTTTATAATCAGCTGGCGGTCCATTGAGATTCTCATGTGACTCTCTGACACAGTCGAGATAGATAAAGTAGCCAGGATGGTTGTCCCAGAATTTGGATTTCCCTCCTACAGAGAATGACTGCAGTCTGAACTTTGGATCCAATTTTTTAAACTCAAAAAATATGTTGAAAAACTGAAAAGATGAAGAAAGTACAAATACTAAGTAAATCTGTTTCACAGTTTTATTATTTGATTTGTTTCATATATTTTTAATGTTTTTCTGTTTACTTTGTTTATGTACAATTAATATTTTAGTTCCCTTTCCTAGATAGTTGATATGGTTTGGCTGTGTCCTCACCCAAATCTCATCTTGAATTGTAGCTCCCATAATTCCCACATTGTTGTGGGACGGACCTGGTGGGAGATAATTGAATCATGGGGGCAGATCTTTCCCATGCTGTTCTCATGATAGTGAATAAGTCTCATGAGATCTGATGGTTTTAAAAAGGGGAGTTGCCCTGCACAAGCTCTCTTCTCTTGTCTGCTCGTATGAGACGTACCTCTTACCTACCATCATGATTGTGAGGCTTCCCCAGTCACATAGAACTGTGAGTCCATTAAACCTCTTCTGTAAATTGCCAAGTTTCGGTTATGTCTTTATCAATGGTGTGAAAACCAACTAATACAATGTAGTGCAGTCTCTTGTTTATTTGGTTTTGTTCTGTTTTTATATATTTTCCAGCTTTATCCTCCTTTATGTTGTCCTTTTCTTTGTTGCCATTATGGTTTGGAATTTTCATATTTCAAGTAGTTGCTTTTAAATCATTGATACTGGATCTCTCTTATTCTATTTGTAAAAATAAGATTAGATTCAATAGTTTTCACAGTGTCTTCAATATTTGGAATCTCATGACTCAGTGATTCTATAAATAATAATGAGATCAGACTTTTCAAACTTTTTAACGGTTATTGAAAGAGGGAGATGGGAAGTCTTTAAAATTGTTTTCACAATGTCTTTTATAAGTGCATAGCACAAATGTGAATTTGGAAGTTTTAGTGTTTTAATATGAATTTTAATGGGATGGCAGGAGTTGTGCTGGAATTGGCCAACAACTCTAGAGAAAGAAGGGGCTGTAATGAATTGTGTCTAAAAACAAACCTCGCTTCTCCCAGTACTGGAATGGTGCAGAAGATGGTAGTTCCTCCTATGACTCATGGTGCAGTAGAAAGATGGAGTAGAGGAGGCGGGAGCTGCAGGCTCCCAGCACGCTGCAGGCAATGTGATGGTCTATCCGGAGAGGGCATTGCTGGAATGGAGTGCTGGCCACTGTCAAAGAAACAGGTGGCCCCTCTCTAAGGGTGTCCTTCAGAGGGGATTGGAGTAAAGCTGAACTTTACTCCAATTTATCCAGGTAAATAGAGAGGGAGCCAGACAGAGAGAAAAAGACACAGAGAGGAAGGGAGGGAGGGTGGGAGGAAGGAAGGTAGAAAAGAAAGGAACAAGTGTGGGAAGGAGGGAGGGAGGGACTAGAGTAAGAGATAATTGAACTGATTTAATCTATGTTAGCAATTAAAGACCGAAAAATCCTGTAATACAAAATTTTACTTATTTCAATCCTTAATTTGATAACTGATTTAACCACTAAACCCATTTTTGCATGGAAAATTAATTACTGGGATACAATTTAGGAGCTGCTGGTGTAAACAAGTAAAGAACATGTTTGGTAGAAAGGAGACATGAAATTACTCTGAGAATCTGTGAATTTACAATGATTCTCAGGATACTTTTTGGATTATTTCAATCCCATGATTGGAGCAAACACATAGCCAAATAACATCCACGTTTGGGGAACCTCGTGTTTTACACACACTCACTCCTGCTCTTCTTAGTCCTCTCCCTATTTTTCACTTCTGCAAAAACCTCCCTGTGTCTCTATTTAATGTAAAATTAGGTACACTGTTCATTTACTAAGCACAGGTATATGCTTTCAGTAACTAAAGAAAGAAAAAGTACTTTTAAGAAAAAAACATAAATAAAAAATTATAGCTAACCTAGCACTTGGTGTTCTATAAGGATTAAATTCTTTGCTTCTTTTAGGTAATTTTACAGAGTATATATGTGTGTATTCAGTGGCAGAAATATTAATTCAAACAAACCTTAAAATCTCCTAAGAAAGTTCTTTGTGTGATTGTCCTCAGGTGCCCCATGCTGTAGTGAGATTTTGACCAGGAAGGACAGAGTTTGAATCCGAGACCTCGTTTAGACTTTAGTGAACAAAGTACATACCTTTCTTTTAATCTTTCTGCATGTACACAATGAGTTACTTAGTCCCTTATAGTGCTTTCTCAGTGTGTGAATACTGATAAGATGATGGCACCTGCTTGTTATATCTTGCATTTCCTGTAGGTTTCTTTAACTCTCTTTTATCAAGACTTTTCAGCTGTCCTAAAGTCTAATACTATTAAAAAAATATTTTATTCCCTGGGGAATAAAAAAAAAAGAAGATGGTAAACTATGATTGCTTTATCAAATGCTGATGAGAGGGATTATATGAGGAAAAGTGAAACTCTTTCAAATACCTGGCTTTGTCTGAAATAAAATTTAGCTTGACTGTTTATGGAGCCTAAAATTTCCTTAAAAAAGTGACATACAAGATAGTGAAGAGAGCCCTCCCTGCTCCAGCCTTAAAGCCATGCTATTTTATTTGGTTTTATCTGTATTTACTGAGCCCGTTATTATAAACTTAATTCAATTTGTTTCCATGTGTATTTGCCCACTATATACATTGATGAGTAGATATACAAGAAGACAAGATGAAGAGAAACAGTTGCATGAGAAGCCATTGTTCACCTAATCCAAATGGTTAAATACCTCAACTGTTAAATTACTCTTTGAATATCACCCTTTCTCTTTTTTCATCTCCCAAACAAAGCATCCTTTCTTCATATCCAGAGATTGCTTGCTTGCTGACTATCAGAAAAGAGAAAAGAAAAAGTCTTGCCTAAAGGAGAGCCATATAGCTTACAACTAAAGAAGAAAAATGGGAAATGTGGAGTTGAGTGGGGAGTCCTGTGAAAGGAACAAGCACTATGTTTGCTTATAAGTAAGCCTATTGCATGATGCCAACAGAACTTTCCCAAGTCTCTTCCAAGGAACTTACACTCGTCCTTCAATCAGAACTGACCATGGGGCATCTTTTAATACCACTGTACACTCTCTCACCAGATTTGCTCTTGTTCTCCCATGGTATCTTGCCATGGATTGCCTTCATCTTCTCTTTCTACTTATACAAATATGCCCAGGTGGAAGCATTCTTGGAATGTTCCATTTGAAAGATAAAATTTTCTCTTAATTCATATGTTGCTTAACTGTCAATCCTAATGGGAAAGGTTGAGAAAAAAAGTCTGAGAAATACTGAGGGAAAAAAAAAAGGAATACTAAGAAAAAAATAAAGAAATATTGAGAAAAAAAAATCCTGGACCAGATAGTCAAACATCTCATAATTTGCTAGATATGTAACCTCCCTAACATACAGTAAGTAGTGTCCATGGTACACCTCAAAGATGTTGTCAGGATAGAATGATGTCATATCTGTGAAGTGTTTCATATAAGGTAATTAGGTATACTTAGGTAAGGTGTTTGCATTGTTTATACCGAATTAAGCTATGATGATTAACATTCTGGTGACTATTAAATTCTTTCATCTATTTTTCATATTGCCTCAACCCAATTAACAGCATATTTAGCTTGTAAGCCATAAAGAAAAGTCTGTTTGCTTTCCCTAAAAATAATATTTATTATAGAAAGTAATATTTGTTATAGAAAAATATTAAAAGTACACACAAATATAAAAATAAAAATAAAGTGTAATGTTGTTACCAAGAAATAACCACTATATCCAAAAAATCCATATTTATATACTCTTACATGTGTGTATATAGGTATATATCTTTGTAAACTGCTTTGTTCACCTATCAGCATATCTTTTGCATATTTGTATTCCCCAGTTCTATTTTTGCTTCCTCAAGTGCAGCCATAGTATTTTGACTTAAGTTGTGTCTCACTAAGCATGTAATACTGTGCCTTGGGTAGAATAAGTATTCAATACATTGGCTTTATTTACTTAAAGCCTTTTGATTGTTTAAATGTAAAATTATGTGAAACAGAACTTCTGTTTTCAAAGATCACAGTTGTGTTCTTACTGACAAATGGAAGCCATTCCATGTAACTGTGACTTACTTTTCTTTTTCCTTTCCCTTCTGTTTAGTTTGTTGCCCAGCCCAATTGTCAACAACTGCTGGCATCTCGCTGGTACGATGAGTTTCCAGGCTGGAGGAGAAGACACTGGGCAGTGAAGATGGTGACATGTTTCATAATAGGACTTCTTTTTCCCGTCTTCTCTGTGTGCTACCTGATAGCTCCCAAAAGCCCACTTGGACTGTTCATCAGAAAGCCATTTATCAAGTTTATCTGCCACACAGCCTCCTATTTGACATTTTTGTTCCTGCTGCTGCTTGCCTCTCAGCACATCGACAGGTCAGACTTGAACAGGCAAGGTCCACCACCAACCATCGTCGAGTGGATGATATTACCGTGGGTCCTGGGTAAATGTGTTACTATAGAAAATATAATAAAAACATGTTACTGCCATGGAATCTTGCTGCTCAGAAAATATTCATTAATGTTTGGGACCTAGGAATGTTTAGAACAGGGTCTGACTATTGTAGCTCCAGGAACCTAACCCCCAAAGCTAAACAACCATTTTACAAGCTGCAGTCGACCTGCTTACAAATGCAACCTAAGAAATGTAACCTTAAGTTTTAGAAATACAGATTTTAAGGACTTTATATTCCATGAATGACCCTTGGGTTTTTGTTTGTTTGTTTATTAAAACTTTCCAACTATCTCATTGACCCTATGTAAATAATCATTCTAATATTCCTAAAAGATAAGTCTTCTAAAAGCGCATACAGCTTACTCTGAAGAATTAGTGATTCTATACATAAAGTAACTGCAACCTTTTTAAAAAAAAATCAATCCATTCAAATTTATCTTTGAAATCTGTATTAATTTAAAATAGTAGGAAATTAAATAACAGGACATCCTCCACTCTTTGTTTTTGTCATAAAAGTTGTGTTTGGTTTGAAGCAAATCATGTAAAGAAGAAAACCTTAAAGTAGCTAGTGAAAACCTTGTTTTCTTTTCTCCTTGTTATAGCCATAGTTAAAATTTACATTTTGATTATCCTTTGCTCTATCATACTATGGTTTGCCGAGAAATCACATTTTCTCAATTTAGCTCACCATTTTAAACCCCTCTGCTATCATATCCATCTCATCATTTGGCTATTAGAAAATATGTGACGAATTTCATGATCCAAAATCTCAGAATATCAGTTTGGATTGACTCTCAAAACTGCTGAAGAGACTAAAATGACATCAAGGCAGGAAAAAAAAAAAAAAAGACAGCCTATTTGAGATTGATAGGGTTTTCAGTTTTAAAAATTATAAAAACCATACTTTAAGTATTGTCAATAAGAAAAGTTAATAGGGACCAGATTTGATGTTTTACATACATAACTGAACAAAATCCTTAGGTGAACTTTAAAATAGAGTAGGTTCTCATTAATCTGAAATGCATAAAGTATGATTGTGTTTAAATTGGAAAAAAAGCTTAGGCCGGGCAGGTCAGAGTGGCTCATGCCTGTAATCCCAGCACTCTTTGGGAGGCCAAAGCAGGTGGATTGCTTCAGATTAGGAGTTTGAGTAGTACTCATCTCTACTAAAAATATATAAATTAGCTGAACATGGTAGCCATAGCCTGTAATCCCAACTACCTGACATGCTGAGGCAGGAAAATAGCTTGAACCTAGGAGGCAGAGGTTGCAGTGAACCAAGATTGCGCCACTACACTCCAACCTAGGCGACAAAGTGAGACTCTCTCTCTCAAAAAAAAAAAAAAAAAAAAAAAAGGCTCACATAATCTGTAAGTGTCCTAAGTGTCCTTTGGAATAAAATAATTATGACATTGCAGTTGGTATTAAGGATAAAATAACCCTGCCTGTTTCATGTAAATTAAATATATCTCATTAAGAATGTGTTTAAGGACGTTTTCTTCTTAGAAAATGTATTTGGAACAATTCTCACAGAAGAGTTTAGGATGTTTTGTTTTCCATTATGGATAAGTTATATTAAATATCTAAAAATTCTAGTGTCTCAAATAAAATGCAGAACATTTCATTTTGAAAAATACTATAAATACAATAAAATGTAAGCAGATAGAGTATTCCTAATCTCTCCTTGATACCACCAATGAAAATGTGTCAAGTACTTTCCAGGCAGAATGGACAGTGAAGGCTGATAGTGATACAAAAGTAAAGCAACAAACAAAGAGCCCTTCTGCTAATGAAGCTTAAATTTCACTGGAATAAATGGGTAATAAGCAAATAGATATATGATATAATGTCATAAAATGGTAAATAATATTTAAAAAAATAGGAGGTCCAAACTTCTAATAACTTTTCCAGTGAAAACAGTCATTGGCTGCCTGCTATATACCAAGCTTCTAACAGAATATTCCATGAATGTTGGCTGGAAGAAACTGGACCCAACCACAGCTAAATGATTAAGTGAAGTATAGATTGAATTGTGAGTATGATAATTCCAGCTAAGAAAAAAATATCTGCTATAGGCAACATTTTCTCAGCATTTCCTGACTGTAGAGAGTTAACTTTACTGAGAATTACAGAATAAAAAGAGATTTCCTAGAATTAAAAAAACATACTTGCAAATGATCATCTTGCTTAGATAGCAGGCATAAGGAAAAAATGTTTATTTATCAAAGAGCTGTCAAACAGTTACATTGTTCACCAAAGTCCAGTGAATTGTGAGTGCCTTGCATCTGAGACTGAGTTCTCAGTGCCTTGCTAGGTTCATGATTATAAGGAGTGTGTGCTGTGCTGTTAGGCTGTTCTGCAAAAGGCATTGGACTTAAATCCATGTCCAGGTTCTACCACTAGGAGACTATTATATGGGTGGTCACAAGCTTTCAGGATTTTCAGTGTCTTTGTGTACAAAATGAAAGATTTAGAGTAAATGACATCTAAAGTCCCCCTGAATCCCATCATCCTGTCTGCTAAGCTACCATTATTAAGGCAGAGAAAGAAAATTGATCTTTTTGGGGAAGGGATGGTGTTGAGGGGGAGAGCCAGGTTAAAGACATCAGGGTAAAAATGCTTTATTCTTTTACCAAAAGTGTGATATATATATATAAAAAAAAGCATGGTCTGATTTGATGACTAGATTAATGAATCCTCTATATTATCTTGCCCTGTCCTGCTGTCTGATAAAGTAAGTGGCCATGAGTCCCTTAGCAGAACATTTCAAAGTTGATTGTAAGGTTCTAGATTTATAATATCAAGATTGAATGACTTATAAAAATCATGTGGCCTATAAGTGTGTCCCCCATCATATTAACTGTCCCAGTGGCAGACTGGAACTCTGCTTATGGCTTTTTTCTTAAGTCTTCTTGAACTGACTTGGATTTTCAAAACACGTCACCTCTGTGAGCTACTTGTACAAAATAATACTTTTTCATTTGTACTAAATTTATTTTTTTCCATTTTCAAAAGATCTTCCTCACATTCATAGTACTTTGATGTATGAGAAATGCTCACTTTAATACTTCTCATTTGTTTATCCTAGCAAAACACTTTTGACTTATTTGTTTTATATATTTATATCATAAATGTTCACGTTTATCTAGGTAGGAAAGTCCTCTAACTTTAAAGCCTAACCTTTCAAACCAATTTCTTTTTCTTCCTAAGTATGGTTTTGCTTGGTAATTCCTGTTATTTTATACACCTTGCAATGTTTCAGCAACAAGAACTGTATTCAGCTTCAGAGAGCCAGTTACCTTATGTTTCAGTACAATGATAGAATAAGGTTTCTATTTTATTTCAGTATCTTTCTTGTTGAAGTTCAACATTGTTGACTATTTAAATCTATTGTGTTTTGTATCTTTAGAAAGCAGTTCATAATGGCTCTTCTCTCCCTCTGCCATGGTGTCAGTGATAAGTTGGAACCAACAGTGGTTTTAGAATTATTTTTACCTCAGACTTGCTTGTATTGAAGGCTATCGACCTTTCCTTTCTCTCATCAAACAGCCTCTAGAGATCTTCTTGCACATGTTTGCTGTCAGGATGAACTTTACTATATAACAAAGAAAGTCAAAAAGCTTTACAGGGTCCAAACTTATGATGCTGGTCATTGTGATACAGTAACTAATAGAGAAAAATAATAATGGATAATTCTGCTAGAACTCTCAATAGATGAGTAAATTCCATATAGATAGACACCAATATCCTTCTTAGACTGTCAAATTACCCACTTAAACTAGCGTAAAAAGTAAAACAGTTGTTTGCTCAAGCATTCATACGGGTCTGATAAGAAAGCTACACTTTGCAGGTGTCTGGAGAGAAAGTTTCATTGGAAAGCCTGAATGACGAATTAGAAAGAGCCCAAGGCTAGAAGATCAGAGACTTGGGTACTTTTACGTTCTTCTGTTCCATGACTCTGAGGCTCTTAACTTATTGAGGGTTTGATTATTAATATATTATACTGGGAATATGAAATGAATAGAATATGAGAATTTTATTTTTATAAAAAATTTACATGCAAACTAAAGCATGTTATATGTATAATGTGCATTAAGAGAATTCATCTAAATTATAGCAAGAGTTTAATCTCAAAGACATGTCATTTGTTTCTGGAGATATGTAGTTAGATATAGGAAAAACAAAAAAATATTTTGGATACCAATTGTCAGACCTTCCTGAAACCCAGTTTGAATTTTCCCTCAGAATATTTTGTTTCGTAACTTACCCCTTTGCACAAAAAAGTATGGATATGTGTAAAATTTCCACATGTAGGCTTATGTAATCAGTTTAGTAAAAGAAATTATAAAACGGATAATGCTTTTCATAAAAGAAGTAGAACTTTAATGAAGGCAATCATATGAATATAGCAGGAAATACCTTGTTCCATGAGAAAACAAAATGGCTGCTGAAATGACATGACATTGTGAGCATGCCCAAGATTATGCCACAATTAAACAATATGTAAAAACTATGCACACTGAACTTGATGAGAAGGGTGAACTGAGGAAAAGATGTAACATAGGAGGAGGTCTAAACTCTGGTAAAAAATAGCTTCTATTGAATTCCTAGGCATAAAGTAAGAATTGCTCATAATATCCAGATTATACATCTTGCCTATAACACATACTTTATTTAGCAACTTTTTAAACAAGATTGGTTTCTCATTTCCATAATTTATTTTACATTTTTATGTTTTAAAAGGTTGATATTAACAAGTCTGAACACTTCAACAAGGCCTGCCAAATTGAAGATGTAGAATGAAAGTTAATGATCACATTTTCATCTAGATAAATATTCATAGAGTCATATAATACTATGTATGGATATATATGTGTATGTATATGTTTTTAATATATTATGCTGAGAATATGAAATGAATAGAATATGAGAAATCTAATACATTTATATTTAACATACTTATATATACACATATGTGTATAACCAGTT